AAATGTTCCTTTTGGACTTGAGTGTTGGAAGCCCCAGTGCCATGGACAAGGTCCCTTAGCCTTAAGTCTGCAGAGGATTGTGTTTGCCCAGTTCTCTCGGTGTTACACAGGAGCTGAAATTGGCTGCTTGTCTGGTGTGACTCCTCAATCATCCGAAGTCTCGGCTTTCCATGATAGTGTTTCCCTCTTTCTGCAGGTATGGTCTGAGTTCTTATTTCCTAGGTGCTTCACGTGAGGCTGTGTCCAAGTCCAGTTTGTGTGAATGGACCTGGCTGACTGACGGACCAGGCTACTCACTGCTTTCCCAGTTCTGTGACCCACAAACTGTATCAGTTGTTGTTTTTTACTTTCAGATCCAGGTTGAAATGCTGCATTGCATCTGACCTACGCTAACTTGAAAAGCATCATTGAGTGCAACTTTTTATTAGCTTGTTTTTGAGACTTGCAGGCTAGGCATTTCTTAATCCTCTTAGTATGGTGATTATGTACAGTAAATCTTTCTGACTTATGGTGCTAGGTCAATGCCTTATAAAAATTTAAGTATGTTGCACCTATGCAGTCCCCTTTGTTAAACCAAATGTGTAATGATGGCATCTAAGAATGAAATTAGAGTTTGGGTTTTCTCTTTTCTTGTTTTACTACAAAATCTCTTATTTCATAAAACCTTTGGATTATAGACTTTATTTTTTCATTGACTAATTCTTCATCTCAACAGATTTTCCATAATTTTAACATTGAGTCATTTCATTTGCCTTTTGGGAATACTGCCATGAGTGTCTTAAGGTATTTCTCTAATATCCCAACTTTAATTAAAATGAGAATCAATGGGCTAGAGAGCTTGTTAGTGAACTCCTTTAGGGATTCCTGTTCCTTTGCTGACTTCAAAATGCATATCCCTAGTACATGTTGTCTCATCTCCTACTTTGATACTAAGGTACTAGAAAATAGCAATTAGAAGTTGCTATTTTCATTTGACTGCCACGTCCTATTCCTTTCTTTATATTTGTTGACTGATTTCCCCTATTCTGTGTCACCATTTTTATCTAGCATGGATCAGTACTATTAGTAAGATTTTTTTTTATTTTTTATTGAAAGAAATTAAAGAGCTAGAAATTCCTTTCCTATTACCACTAGTTTTGCTAGCCACAAATTTTACTTATTTTATAATGTCTAACTTGTGTAAGTCAATGTCTGGCCTTCACCTTTTCCATCTGTTGTGTTTGTTTGATTTTCTTTAAATTGTTTCTTGCTCACCAACTTTCTCACTGAACCCAGGATGAGCTTTTACCAAAAGTTTTCTTCTTTTTCATTGTGGAATTAGGGCCTTTTTGGCTACATGATAGATTTTCCTCACAGGAGAATTTAATTCACATTTCTCTGCCTTATGTGTTTTGTTTTTTTTCTCATGGACAACTCAGTTTATAGTTTTCCTCACCCTGGAAGTTAGCACAGACTCAGTACAGGTTTGTTACTACTTGTGGCTTTCCTCTCTATGTCCATATTCCATATGACAGGACAAAACTGCAAGTTTCACTCAAGTTATCTCATCTCATATGCATCACCTTGAAGTCTGAAAAATTGACTTGGCTTGGGTGCAGTGTCTTGTATTAAGTTGGGAAGGTTTTAAAAGTCGGAATTATACTTTGCTGACTGGTTGAATTCCCTGGGGAATGACTCACAAGTTAAAATTCCTTGCAGAGATTTTTCAGTTTATATGTTAAAGGTGCTTGAAATTGCCTTTCCGGGCCCCTGGTTTACTGTGTTGTTTTCTAATGTCTGCTATCCTTTCCCTCCTTGGAATCTGCTACCTAGCATGGGGATCCATATGTATTTAAGGCTGTACAATTCCTGTGTTACCAGTCATTCCAAAGGTATTATTCCTTGTGTTTTTGCAGCTTGCTGCTGTACCTATAGCTTTTACTGTTGCCCAGGAAGAACCTAATTATTTCTTAGTAAGGGACTTCCCATTGAGTTTCAGAAATGCCACTTTATTCCAGGCCCCTTTTTTTCTTATCAGTGAGAATGTCCTAATTCTCTGTTTACCCAGAGTCCTGTTGCTGATGTGGAAATAATTGAAGTTACCTTACTCTCATTATCTTTGTCACTTATTTGAGTTTGAATTAGGTCTTTGGATTCCCAAGGTTGTTTAACATAGTCAGAGTGCTTCAGGTGGTTTAAAAAGGAGAGTTGGTACCTGTGAGACACAAAATCTAACAACTTGTATAAAATCCTTCCCTGTTGAGATGCAGCCCGAGGTTCTGCAGCTTTTCAGCTTTGTGCGCTCAAGCCAACAATGGTTCAATTATTTACCTCCCACTCACAAGTGGAAGATTCTCTTAACAAGATCCCATGATCCTTCCTCTTCAGCTCCCTGAATTTTTTGACCCTGCATTTTCATTGTGATGCCAATCCATTTGTTTCTGTATGTCTTATCCAAGAAGACTTGACAATGACTCTGGAGTTCTGTGTTAGGTTGCATCCTGTGTCTTTGCTGGAAGGCAGTAGCACTTTTTCTTCTCCTTTTCTGAGTTGATTGTCTCTTCTTAGCTGGATTTTACAAATTATCATTGCTTTAAAAAGAAACATCATGTAGGCTGGAAATCATTTAGAAAAGTCACCCACAAACAGTAACTGAATCTCAGCCGTGACTAATGATAGTACTGCTGGTCTATAATTCAGTTAAATCTTCAAGAAAGATTTAAGACTTTCATAATTTAAAGCCTTATGGTTAATCAACCATAGCCCTTATTAGAGTTTTTTGTTGGTTATCACTGCCATTAAAACTGCCATTCTGTTTTACTGCTTTTTTTTTTTTTTTTAATCCATAGGGTCTTGCTATGGCTTTGTTCAGTACATTAAAGTCTTATTCTATAAGAAGTCTTTCTTCTTCTGCGATGAATTATAGACCATGATCAAGTCACTGCATTCATTCTTCCAAACAGCTAAATTAAATTGAGCTGGTTTAGGTGTCTCACATTAAGGCTTGGCTCCATCATGTATTTCTTACTTGTTGCCCTTCTTTTCCCTTTCACTTACCAGGCTGTGTGTAGTGTTCACTTCAAGTCTTGCTACATTAGACCTCGATGGTTATCTTGAGCCACCAAACTTACAATGCCAGACAAGGCTGTCTAGTTCTTTTAATGAGATCTTTTTCTTTAAAAGAGCATTATGCTGCTTTTCTTAGCTGAGTGCAAGCCCTATCAATTACACTGTGATTTTGCCGTGTCAGTGTTAGGTTAACTGCCTTACAGCAACCTGGATGAGCCCATTTGCTTTTCAAATACTTTTAAAGTATTTGCTGGTCTTCTGGAACACATTCAAAGTTGTTTGGAAAAGAAAGCCCATTGCTTCCATCTGCTTGCCAGATAATTCTTTTCAAATTACAGATTGTCAGTTTCTAGCTATGCAACTTTTAGGATGTTTTATTTAATGGGTAGAACTAAACATCTTCCTAAATCTCATTGGCAATAGGTAATATTTCATTACCTCACAGATATGTCTACATCATCCAGCTTTCTTCCTAATATAGAATATAATTATGAGATTCTGCCTGTCTTCTATATTTTATTGATTATTTTATCATCTTTATATCAACTAAAGGATATATATCATGTTTAGGATTTTCTTCTAATATTTTGCAGGTAATGTACCTGAAAGCTGCCCAAGTTTACTAGTGCAGTTTCAGAACATAGATTGAAATTGCTCTGTACACTTTCTTAACTACAAGATAGGTACCTGTTCAATCGTCATTTCAGGTACAACAGATTAAATTTGTGTGCATGGTTTCTTGTTTCTGTGTAGTAGACCACCAAAGTACTAGAGAGATGTAGTAACTTGGTCCAACAAACATTTCGATTTCATGTAGTGTCTGTGTAATGAATGGAAAAAAAAAATGCAAGAAAAGAAATCGTGACACCAAAGAACTAGAGTCTATGCCTAGTTTTGCTGCGGAATTAGGATATGTTATTGGAACATGGACACAGGTATAATCTGTGGCCTTTGGCATCCGCTTTCATTTGTAAAGCTGAATAACCACCCTGTGGGCAAGTGCTGCAGATCAGTCCTTTGCTGTTTGTGAGAATGAAGTGTGGGTACATCCAGTGTTTCCTGAAGACAGGAAATGCAGAGCAGGGACCTCTGAACTGAGAATGTTAAAGAGTGAGAAGAACCAAATGCACCTGTACAGCAAAAGGGAACCAGAGTGTGAAGCTGTAGGCCCTCCTGCTGGGTTATGTGTAAGGATCCCTCTCAAGCACTGGCCTTCACCTCCTAGTCCTTGGACAACGTTTAAGAGGTCTCTAAGGTAACTGAAAAGCTGGAGGCTTGAATTTGGTATGCAGATGTTTACATTTCCAAGGGAAAACAGGCATCTGTAGATCAATAAAGGTTGAGAACCACTGCTGCAGACTGCTTCCGTAGGCCGCCCAGCTCTCCGGTGTGAGGGGCACAGGCCTTCTGGGCAGCACGCCCGCTCATCCCGCAGGCCCTCCCTCCATCCAACCGGGGGGAGCTACCTGCGGGTTTAACAACAGGATGTAATTGTAGCAGCAAACCGGGGTGAGGGGGAGGAGAGTGATAACCACCGGGGTTAGCGTCTGTGGCTTTGTTACTACAACAGGATCAGTGAATGAGGCTGGGTGAGGGTTAGACATAAATAGCTGTGGATCTCTGGAGCATTTCAGTGGGGGAAACACCTTCCTGTAAAATCATCTGCACCCCTGCCAGGACTCTGACTTGCAGAAGTGTTGACTCTAAAAAATAATGCACCTCTCGCCAATAACTACTGTGGTAACACTCCCTCTGAAGGTCAGGATGCCCTGAGCGATGCACTTCTCTATGCCTTGACTTTCTAAAGAAAGCAAAAATAGCAACTTTTCTAGATTCAGAACTCAGGAACTAGTTTTTGCTGGATTGCTAGTTTCTACTGCTGTGAGACCACACAGGCACACAAAACTGCCTCTCTCCTTTGTTTTCCAGCTTCACAGTGGCAGTTCATGAACTTAAAGACACATTTGTACATTTTACTAAGACTTACCATTTAGATTTTAGGCAAGTGTCTCCTCTTTTCCTTGTAGTTTGTATCTGCAGTGGCAAGAAGTCCAGAGGGAGCTTGTGTCTCCACTTCAGTGGTCTAGTATTTTGACACATTCCTAGCCTTGGCTTGGAGGGTAAGATGGGATTCCCAGGTGGTCTCTTAACCAAATTAGTGATTTCTGAGAATGTCTAATTGTTAATGTCAGCTCCATTCAGCCTGATAGCCCCAAGCAGGATGCATTTGGGGGATTCTGGTTTAGTACTGCGACATGGTATAGGGAGCAGGGTTTTTTTTTTATGTAACACCCACATCCTTCCCCTTAATTAAGAGTGTAAGGCAATTTATACAAGAATTTTGAAGTACTTTAAAGTGAGGCTTAACAATAATGTTCAGCTAACTGAAGCCAGCTGCTTCATATGAGAACTGAAAAAACTAAGAAATGTGTTTTGAATAATTAAAAATATGTCCTAAATAACTTAGATGACTGTAGGAATAGGAATGGAAAACACCATCTTCAGAACAGAGGATCTCTGAATTAACCAAATAGTTTAACAACAAGAGGGTTTGATAGTTCAAACAGCTGCAATTCATTTATATAACAGCTCCTCAGTCTCGCAGTGGAGGCTGCTGGAAGACTTTATCCCAGTATATCCATATAAATAAAGGCAGGGTGTCTTGGAAGATCTTTGGGAGGAGAGGGGAAAAAACCCAAATCTAGTCACTTCTCCTCGTGGCCATAATGTGGTAGCACTCAGTCCTGAGCCGTGACTGTGACTGTACAGACTGTCTGTAAAAAACAGTATGGTGGCAGTGAGTACCCAGCAGAAAGGTGGATGAAATGTAGCATTTGCCAAACAAAAACAGTGCCTCCTAATCTGTATAGGATGCTAAATTAACGCTGACCTCCTCAAACATCCATCCTGCATATCCTAGACCCTAAGGATCAAAAGTAGTATGGTAATTTTGTCTCAGTTCCTTCATAATCACACATGACCTCACCCTCGTAGCCCAGCACAAAGCCACGCTGTGCATGTAGCAAAGGACAGCTGGGGAAGCTCCTGAACTCCATGGCATGAGGACCTCTAATCCAGAAACGACTCGTGGTGTGTGCTTTCTAAGGTCGTACTGGCAAGAGGAAGGAAAAGAGAAAACGGTCTTAACTTTATTCCATTCTTTAGCTGCATTGTACCACAATCCTTTCACAGCAAAGACTGTCTCATTTATGACACAGCAGCAGCTGCTCCTCACTGGAGAATTCCGTGGTGAATGGAAACCAGTAGTAATCAACAGCACTTCCTCGCCCAGATCACAGGATGGGTAAGGGTGGGAGGGACCACAGTGGCTCGTTTGGTCCAACCTCCCTGCTCAAGCAAGGTCAGCTGGAGCTCATGGAACAGGACTGCCGGTCCTGGAATACCTCCAGTGAGGGAAACTCCACAGCCTCCCTGGGCAACCTGTCCCAATGCTCGGACACTGCACAGGAACGAAGTTCTTCCTCGTGTTCAGGTGGAACCTCCCGTGCAACAGTTTCTGCCCTTTGCCCCTTGTCCTGTTGCTCGGCACCACTGAGAAGAGCCTGGATCCATCCCCCTCCACACTCCCCTCCCCCGCCCTGCTTTATGTATTTATACACATTGATGGGGTCTCCTCTCAGTCGCCTCTTCTCCAGGCTGAACAGGCTCAGTTCCCTCCTCCTTTCCCCGCAGGAGCGATGCTCCCCTCCCCCGGCCGCCCCCGTTCCCTCCCGCGGGGCCCGCCCGGGGCCGACCGACAGCCCCGAAATGGCGGCGAGGACGGGCGGAAGTTCCCGCCGGGCCGGGCGGAAGCGGCTTCCGCGGCCGGGCAGCGCCGCTTCCGGGGGTGCGCGCGTGCGGCTGTGGGCGGAAGCGCCGCGCGCTGGCCAAGATGGCGGCGGGGATGTACCTGGAGCACTACCTGGACAGTAAGGGCCGCGGGCGGGGCCGGGGCCGGCCCGGCGGGGGCACCGACGAGCCCAGGGGCGGGGCCCGCGGGGCCGAGCGCTTGGCCGGGGCGCCCGCGGGCTGTCCCAGCACCTCGGGTGCAGACCGTCGGCCGGCCGGTCCCCGGGCCGTGCGGGCAGGGCTCGGCTGAGGCTCCTGCGGGAGCCCTGACACCGCGGCCCCGCGGCTGGTTTGTCCCCGGAGAAAGGAACCCGTTGCTGCTCCAGCCCCTCGCGGGAGCGGGAGCTGGGCTATCAGTGGTTTCCGGGATAAACGTCAGTAGCGGGGATGGGGGAATCAGCCACCGTCTGTGGGACGGTGTTTTCGGTAGCTTCCTTCGCTGTCCATTTGCAGTGCAGCCCTGTTTTGTGACCGAAGAGGAGCTGTGTAAATGCTGATGGAGTTGGTAACGTTATCGGAGCCCTCCTTTGATACCGTCCCGCTTTGAGGGGCTCAGAACTTTGCCAAACTCTGCCCTTTGGGGATAAGACTTGCGGTGCCTGTTTTACCCACGTGTTCTTGAAACGGCCAGGTAAACTAATCAGAGGAGTTGTTTCTTGAGGAAGGGACTACTAATCTGTTAAGATCCACTAACCTGTTCTTTGAGGAATGCTGTTTGCACATTTCCCTGCTGATCTGGTGTCATGGGAGACGGGGGAGCACAGGGATGGGGTGGTGTGTTTAAAGGGCGGGAGTTTTGGTAACGTGTCTTACTTCACTCTATCTGGCTAAGATAAATCTCTCCATCTCTGTTTATGTATGCTTGGAAACACTGGAGCTTGACTCTTTAGAAATTTTGCTACACCAGGTTTTTTTCAGCACAGAGTTGATAAGGTCTTAATCTGGAGACAAGGGGTCTCATACCTTGTGTCTTCAGTGCTCCCTTTGCCATTAGGAAAGGAAACCTCTCGTGAATTAAATTAAGAAAGTTCAAGAACTGTAATAAATTCCCAAGAAAGCTGGAACTGAACGGGCAAGGATCTAGGAGCTGCAAGGAAGGAGGATGTAAGAGCCAGGAAGAAGAGTTGGATGAGAAAGCAGATTGTGAGAGAGGAGTAAAGATTTATCTTCTTGTGCTTTTCTCATTCCGCTGTAGAAGACTGCAGGTGACTGAGGCTCTTCAGTGGGGAGGACGAGGGCTAGACAAGAGGAGAGAGAAGCAGGTGGACAAGGAGTAAGTGCATGGGGAGGATGCAGGGTTTTCCTACTTGGAGGGCATTACATTTGCCAAGATAAAGGAGTGAAAGGCTGTGATTTGCAGTTGGAGAGCAGAGGTGAGCAGGATGCAGCACTGGCTGTGGAGGGGTGTGGGAAGGTACCAAGCTGGAGAGAAAGGAGGCTGTAGACGGTCTTGGTGGCTGGAAAGTGCTCCCAGACACCTCTGGCTCTCCTTGTCACTTCCAACTAAAGTTGACCCACCCCTGGAAATTCCTCTTCTTCTCTAGTACAGGCGTGCAGAGAAAATGGTACACTTATTTTCTCTCAGCTGAGATTTGTGGTCCTGTAGTTGAATTAGAGATTCTCATCCTGTTAGAGGTGGATTTTAATATGGGAGTGTCACTGTTACTGTTAAAGTATCTTCCTTAAAAACAGAAAGCAACAGGCACAATCTAAAAGCCCTTAAAAACTCTGGTTACAAAGATGTTAGAAAGAACAAAGCAGTCTCTGCAGCAATGGTTTAGCCTGGTTTGCTTACCCATAGAGCTCTAAAGGCTTTTTTTCAGTTTCTGCTGCAATATTACTTTCCTCTGTTAGCTAATTGTAAGATACTTACTGTGCTTAACCTACAGTTTCTTTCAGAAAATCATATTATATGAATTGTAATACTTACAATACTTACAAAAAGTCAAAGAGCATCCATCTAATTTTTCAGTAAGTTAATCTGCTGATAGGCTTTCCTGTCATGCTTTCATGACTTGTGTCTGTAGTTAATTTTCACAGTTCCAGTATTTAGTCACTGCACCTTTAACACCTCTTACCTGCCATGTTAAAGTGTTCCCTTATTAAAAGTTTATTCCCTGTGTAGATTGTAGTTGATTAAATCTTAACCTTCTTTCTGCTAACTTAGGAAAAAAAAATTGCCTGGGATAACATATTTTTCATTTTTCTGATTACCTGTACTGTTCTTGTCCCAGCCTGCTCTAATCTTTTTACATTCTGCTTGAACTTCTGACTCTGTGAAAATGCATAGTCTTTTAGCAATGAGTCTTCTTTGTGGTACTGAGTGACAGCTTTTGGTTTCCTCCTTGCTACTTCATTTTTCTTTTTTAAAAATTATTTTTGTATTTTAAAAGCATTCACTTCAGTTTCAGAGTAGTTCACTTATATCCCAAAACTTTCTGAAATTTGATACAAATAAATAGTCCAGAACCTTTGGTCGTCTCTTTTAAAAATGCCTAATTTACTTCTTCATTTACATTTGTGTCTTGGAACCGAATTCTTTTAGTATTACAGTGCTATTGCCGATACAGTTTTCAGCTGAATTTCCTTCTTCCTCCCACAGAGATTCTCTTTCATGGGGTTTACTGGCTGGATCTGCCCGGGGAATGAATGGGCAGTGTGTGAAAAGGGGACAGTTGTTGTAGGGCTTCTTCATATCTTTGAAGAAAGAGAAGGTGTATCAGGAATGAAGTGAGGATCATAGGAAGGGAAAAGGTGGCCTCCTGTTTGAGGCAGTTGAGTACCACTCTGACAAAGTGAGTTCAATGTTTTGTGTTGGGAGTCACACTTTTTACAGGTTCTCCTTGCTTGGATTGTGCTTCCCTCAAATTATGAGTGAAAATTTGCAGTCAGGGGAGCAGATGTGCAGAATGCTCATAGCTGCAGCTGAAGTCTGCTTTGAACAGATAATTCTGAAAAGTCAGGCTATTCAAGAGGCAAGATTGTAATTAGCTGGCCTTCTTGACTTTAATCTCTTTGCCTCAGTAAATCTCCCAGCCTTCATTCTTTTGGTAAGGGAAGTGGGCCACTCCACTGCAGCATTGTGAAAACGTTTTAGTGTCACAATAATGAACACCTTGAAAAGCTGATTACCAAATCAGTTTTCACATTGTGCTCTGGGCCGTGTGTGTGTGACTGTATCAAGCAAAGAGAACAAAATAAAACTTTGAATCACTGCTCAGTCACTCAGAATGAGAAACACCTTGTATGAAACCTCATGCAATTTGCTAGTTAAAGACTGTGTGTTAAAATGCATGAGCAGTCTGACAAAACTGTGCATACAGCCTCAGTTGCTTCAGTTCATGTATTTTGAGTCCTCTGCTTTGGACATCTAAAGTTCCTTTCCATTACATTTTTGTGGAATAGCCAAATTAAGAACAGTTCTCTTAGTAAAAGGTGTCTGGCTGGTTCTTAGGTCTGGTATTTCAGTAGCTTTCAAGTCTTTGCTGTAATTTGAACCTGAGTTTAGACCGAGGATTAGACATGCCCTTGCATTTGCTCTAAACTGTTAATTTAACAAAGCAGCTCTGTCTGAAATGTGTTATGCTCCTGGAAGATGTTTTTGCAGCAGAAAAATATGCACATTCCTTGTGTGCTGAACATCCTGACAGAGGAACTTCTGTCTTGTCTACTCTGATCTCCTTCATTCCTTCATCCTAATTACTGAAGCTGTCCTTTCAATTATTATACTGAACCAAAGGACTCAGGCAAGGGGAGAAGAGGAATGTGTCTTGTTCCAGTTGTCTTGTTCCACTTTTCTTCTTCCTGAGTGGTTTTCTCCAGTTGCTGAAGTTAAGTATAAAAAGATTTCCATCACTTCAAATATTGTCGTCTCCCCGGTCTCTAAACCATTTTATGCCTGGTTTTGAGGGGAGAAAGCAAGATAATATAAGTGCTTTCCTTCCAGCCAGTAAAACAGCAAAGGAGTGCAAAGGAGTTAAAGATGTAGAAAGGAATGGGGGAAGAAAAGGAAGAAGGAAGAAAATAGTGGTTTGTAATTAGAAGATTGAATGTGCATGAAGACTCATTATCGGAGCTTTTGCTTGCTTGAACTTGAGTTACTGTGCTTGTCTCTCGTGCTGGGTTAGAAATGCTGTAGTGGAGACTTGGAGGGGGAGAATGTGACTAATACAGATTTTCCGGAAGACGAGATGCAAACCCTGAGTTTCCTTCATGTTTGGACTTTTCAAGGGGATTGCAGATCTCCTTTGTGAAAGACCTCATTGAAGCACACACGTACTCAGAAAAGAGTCCCAAATGTTTTTCTACATGTCTCTGTTTGTATGTGAACATACCATGAGTGTAGGGATTGTCTTTGTAGCAGAGGAACTGCTGTGCAACCAGGTGTATTTTGTACCATCAGTGCTTCCCTCTTTACACACCCAGTGTGTGCCAGAATGAAGTAAGTATACTTAGTGACAGCACACAAATGTATCTTATATGGCAACAGAACCAAGGCACCTATGTTTCCTCAACAACAAAAAGTGTTTCCATCCTCCCTCATCTCAAAACTCTTGAGGAACTAAAGCCAGCATTTCATATAAATTAGACCTAAACGCTTGAGAGAGTCATCAGCAGAGGGCAGGTAGGCTTGGTGAGCTTGAGACGCAGAAGGATGTTGCTGGCCTGGCTGCTCTAGTGGCTGCTTGATACTAATTCCATGTCTTGGAGGCCACCAGTCAGGACCTCTTCCAGGAGCAGCCACTAGGACATATCTGCCTCAGTGAAGAGGGTGATGGAGACAACAGGCTTAGATGAGGAGACCTCAGCTGGTAAGTTAATGTGGTACTATGTAGTCATTTTACTTTGTGTTTTTCCCCTTTTTTACACTGATTAGGATGGCATCGAGTTCCCTTTGCTCCTCTGTTTGCATGTGTCAGTAGGCACATATAGAGATGCACCAGTTCAGGGCTTGTCAATACTAGAAAACTTAAACATAGAGCAACAGAAGCAGCATCTGCCCTTGCAGAAGTCATCTTCTTTCTCCTACAGCTGACATGGGAATGTCCTTTCATTCCTTGATAACATTAGCTAACCCAGT